GCCGATAGTCTCCTTTGCGTTCTTTTCATGCCGCATGGGCCAAAAGTCGTAGCAAAGTGAGAACATGGCGGCTGTTTTTATACTACTTCCGACTGATCCTCGACTCCGACGAGGTTGCCGTTAGCTGCATGTCTACAAATGAACTTACGAATGGCTAGAACCTGAGTGATGTAATGATGGGGGAGCTTAACTCTAGGGCCCCCACAATCGGAGCAGCTGCAGAAGTTGGTACGAACGAGTGTGTAACCCCAAACCCCTAAAGCTGTTGCTTGGAGGCAGCCTTTCTCCCAGTCCACCAACGTCGGAGGTGGCGGCTTTCTCTGAGGCGGGGGGCAAGGGAAATTAGGGTTTAGGGTTTAGTTTACGGTTTTGGGGTTTCGGGTTCGGGTAGGCTGATTTTTTTCAGGGTTTTAGGGTTTAGGGGGTTTAGGGGTTTGGGTTTTAGGCTTCGGGTTTAGGGGTGTAGAGTTTAGGGGTATTACCAATATTATCCCCGTATGATAGCTCATATCGTGATACTCAAACAGTTTGCAAGATCACCCCATTGTAGTCTACATACTTATACCAGCCCTAAACCCTAATCCCTAATCCCTAAACCCTAAACCTTAAGCCCTAAACCCAAAGCCCGTTCTTTTTCCTAGGCTCGGCTCGGAGTGCGGGTTTCGTGGTGTCAGTGTTCAGGGCTCAGAGCTGCGTGTCATGGGTAGGTCTTGCCTCCGCAACAGAAGACGGACAGAAGGCGGTTTGGGAGGGAGGGAGGGAGGGAGGCGGAAAGAAATAAGACAGAAGGCGGTTTGGGAGGGTTAGAAAGAAGACAGAAGGCAGTTTGGGAGGGTTAGGAGGGAGGGCAGGAGGGTTTAGGGACAGGGTTAGGGTTTAGGGTCAATCTTTCGGGAGGTAGGCTGATTGCAAGGTGTTGCCGACCCTAAACCCGACTTACTAAGTCCCCTCACCCTAAACCCAAAACCTTAAACCCTAAACCCCTACACCCCAAACCCTAAACCCCTACACCCTAAACCCTAAACCCTAAACCCCTACACGCTAAACCCTGAACCCCAAACCATCCTTGCAGTCGAAACCAGGAGTCGAGGAGGCGTCGCCCTTTTTCGGATTTCCGGGTACCGCAAGCCACAGACCCGAAGTTAGTCATTGGCTCAAAGAGACCCAGAGAGCCCAATGCCCCTTAATTAAGGACTGTACCTTAATTGATAGGGTTTAGGGTTTAGGGTTTAGGGTTTAGGGATGATAGGGGCCTTAATGCTATGATTTAAGGTCTATTCCTTGATTAAGGGTCTTGGCCTCTCTGGGGAAGTCGCCAAGTCAGAACGAAGAGCCCTGGGCAGTTCCAGCAAGATTGTGTAAGTGATGATGGGGAGGTATATGGTTTTAGGAATGGTCCTTAACTACGATGATATAAATCCTGCATTACCCATCATAAGGAATATACAAGAATTCCCATAGTTTAGGGTCCTTAAGGTAATGCGGGGTTTATATCACCAACAGCAGGGTAACTAGGGGCTCTTGGCTGGTCTTGGAAGCTGTAGATGCACTTCTGGACGAGGCCGTGCCAAGTGCCGAAGCAGCGGCCGTGATGGACGAGGAGCAGTGGAATCACACGCGTGCGGGGGGGGAGTACTTGAGCTAGTAGTGATGATGGACAAAGTAGAAAAGGATACTCGTCGGACATCGTCCATGAACCGTTGCATATGGAGCCTGTGAAGAGAAAGCTGCGAGGAACGTATACAGAACGGCTGCCCCACGAACCCGCTTGAGTTTGATGCGCCGTTTCAACAACACCAGATTCAGCCCACCCTAACAGACCCTGAAAGCCTAAAGCAACCCCAAACACCTCGAGCCCTCAACGCAAAACCCGGAGCCCTTAATCCGTCGCCGTTCAAACCCTAACGCCCCCAAGCTTCAATGGTACCTGTTTTCTAAGAAATGCCGTGTAAAGCACGAGAGACTGCTGCAGAACCCGTCAGAAGCTTCTACGGCCGTGTAACAACCCTATAAGTTTAGACAACAAACCTATAAGTCCAAATAACACGTTCATAAGCAAAAAACGACAAACCCTGTAACAGTTTCCGAATCGCCTATGCGACCACGGTAGCGATTTTATCAAGCCCGGATAGAATCCATCCTAAACCCTAAACCCAAGGGCTCTCAACCCTTAACCTGAAGCCCTAAACCCTAAACCTGAAGTCCTAAACCGTAAACCCGAAGGCCTAAACCCTAAACCTGAAGTCCTAAACCGTAAACCCGAAGGCCTAAACCCTCTAGCCGAAGGCCTAAACCCTGAACCCCGAGACCCCCCACACCTGAAGCCCTAACCCCTAAACCCAAAACACGGAAGCCCTTAACCCCGAAACCGTAACACCCTAAAGCCCTACACCCTCGGCCCCAGACCCTAAACCCTAAACTCCTAAACCCCTAAACCCTAAGCCCTAAACCCCGAAACCCCAAACCCTAAAGCCCTAAACCCCGAAGCCCTACGCCGAGAGGACCCAAGCTCGGTTCCACCGACTTCTGACGAAGCGTCGGGCCAGGCTCGGATCGAAGATGCGCTCGTTTTACGTTGGGGGTATTAGGGTTTGATAGGGGGTTGTAGGGGGCTTCAAAGAGGTTTATCGGGTTTTCCGTTTTTTTTTAAAGGGTTTAGGGTTTAGTTGTTAAGGGTTTCGGCTTTTGCTCCAGGCTGTATTTGAAGTTCTGGCGGTTTCCGCTGTTTTCCTGATTGTTATCTTTGCGTGTTATATGGTTTTAGGTTCTTGGAGCAGTATAAGCAGCAGCAGCAGCAGCAGGAGGAGGAGGAGGAGGAGGAGGAGGAGGAGGAGGAGTACCACCAGCAGCTCAAACGGAAGAAGAAGAAGCAGAAGCACAAGTTGAGGTTGAAGTGAACTTTACAGTAGAAAGCAGTAGTTCGAGCGGGGCATCCTAAATTGGGTTATCCGAATTACCTTGGCAGCTTCGCCCTGCCCTCAAAATTTCGAGCGACACTGATAAAGCCACATATGAAGCCCCGAAAGGGGTTAGGGTTTAGACTTTAGGGCTTATGGTTTAGACTTTTGGGCTTAGGGTTTAGACTTTAGGGCTTAGGGTCGAGGGAAGCCCTTATAGACCTTTCTGCCAAGAAAGGATGAATCCTCATGAGACACCAAGATCGCCTTTGCAAAGGTTCTCCAAAATCCCTCTGTTACAGTGAGGGAGATTTAGTTGTAAGTTGATGTAGGAACCTGATTAAGAACCCCTGGTCCTATAACCCCAAAATAGTAGGATTTTCACATAAAGAACCCTCATAAAGACCCCGGGTTTCTGAATCAGGTTCCTATATTACCATGACGGAGCCCCTGTATCATTGAGGTTCCCGGTCCCTTTCCGGAGCCCTTTAGCAAGGACCCAGTCAGTGTAAGCTCCGCGAAAGAGCCCTAAACCCTAAACCCTAAACCCCAAACCCTAAACCCGAAACCCTAAACCCCAAACCCTAAACGCTAAGTCCTAAACCCTAAACCCTAAACCCTAAGCAACGCCCTGAAAGATTTCTTCTACCGACTCCTGGCCCCTGCCCCCGGATTTTAGGGTTTAGGGTTTGGGGTTTAGGGTTTGGGGTTTGGGTTTTAGGGTTTAGGGTTTGGGGTTTAGGGTTTAGGGTTTAGGGTTTAGGGACGCCCATTAGACCCCGAATCCTAAGCCCTACGCCCTGCAATAGCCTTGAGTTCCTAGCCAAGTTCCAACCGCGAAACCTCAAGGGCCTAAACTTTCGAAACCCATTCAATCAAAGCCTGGTTTAGGGTTTAGAGTTTCTGAAGTCCTCTTTTCCTTCCCTACAGTGCACCCTAAACCCAATTAAACACGAAACCCAAAACCCTAAAACCCTAAACCCCGAAACACTAAAGCCTAAAAGCCCTAAAGCCCTAAAGCCCTAAGCCCTAAAGCCCTAAAGCTTAAATGCCGAAACCCTAAACGCTAAAGGCCGAAACCCTAAACCCTAATACCCTAAAGCCCGAAACCCTAAAACCCTAAAGCCCTAAACCCTAAAAGCCGGAACCTAAACCCCAAACGCCGGAACCCTAAACCCTAAACCCTACACCCTACAATCCGAAGCCCTAAGCCCAAAGCCCTAAAACCCAAACCCTAAACCACCCAAACCCGAAACGAAGGCCGGTGGCCTGCTGTCCCATCTGACGCTGGAGATCTTTCACCTGCTTCTTGGGGTTTTTGGGCTTTATGAAGAGGGCTTAGGGTTTAGGGTTTTAGAAGGTTTAGGGTTGAGGGTTTAGGGCTTTAGGCTTGAGGGTTTAGGGTTGAGGGTTTTTGGTTTAGGGTTTTAGGGTCTAGGGTTTTAGGGTTTAGGGTTTTAGGGTTTAGGGCTTAGGGTTTAGGGTTTACGGGTTTAGGGTGCTCAATAACCCGTCTGTCTTCTTCTCGTGGGACCACTGACAACGATAAATATATATATATACACACACATACATATAAATAATAACAGAATCCAATTCTTGAAAGAGCTGAAAAACCCTAAACCCTAAATGCTAACTCCTTAACCCTAAACATGCTGTCCAAGTCTCAGGTGTTGCAACGTTCAGCATTCCAGGGATGTGGGGTTTAGCGTTGGTTTACCCGTTTTTTGGGTTGACATGAGGTGCCGAGGGCCCTAGGCCGGTGTTTTAAGGGGATGTTGATCCCAGTTCGGGAGGGAAGTGCTTGGACTCTACAGTTTAGAGCGCGTTGAGGGAGGCTGCTGGCGCCTATAAGCAAGGCATGAAGCCACCAACATGAATTGTTACCAGGATTTTCCCAAGTAGCCCTTGAACAATTGAGATACTTGGTGATCATAGCTACAGCTACAATGATAGGTGGTTGGCAGTCACCGTAAACGCTAAGCACAACAGCAATCCCAAGTAACCCCAAACCGTAAGTCCAATCTAATCCAACCCCGATGCACGGACCCAAGACGGCGGCATGAAGCTCCAGTTTTCTCAGCGCCGCCGCCAGTTGTCGTCTTATCCAGCTCTTCCTTGAAAGCGTCGGGTTGCCTTTCGTTTTCTTTTGCCTTTAGCTTGAGCAGTCTGGCAAAGAGGTGACTGGCTCAAGAACAACTCTGAGATGTGTGGCCAATGCACTTTCAGTGCCTCAACATTCTCCCAACGCACCTTTCTGCCGGGCGGTCCCTCCCCTTTGGGGACTTCTGGGCCATCTGCCTTGATGTGGGACCATACTCCCCAATCATGCTCCACGAAAACCAAGGTCGGATCTGTGTTCAACATGTAGTACTCGTCCCTTCCCAGTCGACTTGAATACCGGACTGAATGCGGAGGAATTTCAAACCGAAAGCGATCTCTTCCGGCACGTGTGGACTCAAAGAACTCGGCTGTCGCCTTTGCATAGACATATGTTTGCACAGGGTACCGCGCGCTCTCATTTGCCAGGAAGGGCAGCACGACAGGTTCCACACGAGAATCGCGGATTGCTTCAAACTCAAATCCCAACACCTCTTCATTCCATTCTCTTTGCGCTGTGCCCAGCAAGTCTCCATCCACTTTGCGTATCACATCACCACCCGGGCAAGTCCATTGGCCTCCATCCTTCTCAGCATCCCACACATGCCAGATAAAATCGCCCCTTTCATCAGAGAAGAGCATCGCCACAGCGGCAGATCGAGCAAAGAGCGACTTGTCAATCGCTTGTTCGATCGGTCGCGGCAAGGTTTGCGCAACAGCATTATAGAACGGCGACACCAACTCTGGCGTGTTCGCCACGGTCAAGATCTGGTGCACCCACTGCGGCTCTCTCTCCCCGACAAAATCATAGTACGGCGACACCAAGTCTAGCATGTCCACAGCTTTCAAGCTCTTTTGTTGAAACTTCCATCTCAGTTCACGAGTAAGCTCAGGGTATGGAAACACTGTTGCTCTTCCTTTACAAAGGAACTGTAGACGTTCCACCTGGTACATCAGCTGGCGCTGCATCTCTGTCGGCTGCTCGATGACAAGTATGAGTGGACACTTGCACTTGCGAGTGCGTGGGGTCAGTATGTGCTTCGCATACATAGACCCGATGGCATCCTCCGTGCGCGGATCCAGCTGTACTTCCTCGGGCACCAAGATCAGAGGGTCGATGTTGCTTGCCGCCAGCTTGAGCAGCCCCTGCCAATCATCATGAAGCACATCAGTGAGATAGTACTTGACCTCCTCCAAGTAAATCGCAAGATTAGGAAGCGGCTCACCCCCAGCACGCCGTCGCCGTTTCATTTCCGGCACGGTGCTGTGCAAGAGGGCCGGCAAAGTGAGCGGACCTGATCTGACCTATAGCAAGCTTGCACAAGAGCTGCAACAAGCCCAGTCTACATTCTGCAGGAAATCCCCCCTAAACCCTAAACCCTAAACCCCAAAGCATGTCTTGCCTTCGGCCATCGATTCAAGCCTAAGTCTCAGCGCAGAAACCTGAAGCCAAGTTCTTCAACACCCTCTCGATCTTCTTGTGAGGCTCGGGAGGGTCTTGAGCTCTCAACAAGCACAGACACGCAATTCGGATAAGGATGGTTGGGTTTAGAGTTTAGGGTTTAGGGTTTAGGATGGGATCTGTTGGGATTCGGCAGCACACTTCCAGTGTAAAATACCCCAACAAATCTAGCTCTATGGACGAACATATGAATCTTCGGGTCTCCAGCCGCAAACACCAGACTATGAAAGTGCTTCCTCGAAAACGGGCTTTGTTGCTAGGAGTTAGGATGCGGGGGACCCTTGGGGATATAGACCCTCTCAATAAGGTCCCTTTCAGGAGAGCCATAAGTAGGGTAAAGAAGGCTCCCCTTTAAGGGGGATCCTTAATACTGCCCAGGAGTGGCGACTCCGTCACTTAGTGCTGAGCTTCCACAGAGGGGCACCTCGATAGTCATGGGCAACCCTACGGTCCCTGAGGCCGCGGGAGAACGCGGCTCATGTACTATAAATATAAAATAATACGCTATCATATACTCTGGTCTATGATAACACACCATAATGTACTATAACAGTAGAATATGATGATATACTACAATATGGCATAATCTACTATACTTATATCAGTATATAACTTGCTATAATATACTATCCTACCAGGACAAGTGCTCTTCATGGGTTCAGTTCCTGGAAACCCACGTCTTTCCACCCTGCGCGCCTGCATCTGAAGGTTCCGATATTGGGTGGCGCTCACACTTGGGCCTGCGCGGGTTTCGGGTAAAGTTTAGGGTTTATGGTTTAGGGTTTAGGGTTTCGGGTCGGAGTTGCACTCACACTGTAGGCCACGCAATACCCTCAGTATCTAGGCTTGGGTTTGGGTGCACGTCGAGCCGTGCTCCTTGAGATGAAGTAGGATGACATTCCTTGAACTGATCCCTATTTGCAGAACACCCTGCACTTGCACCACCATCTTAAGCCAGAAACGCCTGTCGCCCGAAGACGCGAAAAAGAAGATTTGCATCCTCCTCTCCCAAAGCCCAAAACCCAAAACCCATCTTCTAGTCTCCTAAAAGCAAAGCCCAAAACCCGGATCTCGAAAAGCCCTAGTCCGATCCGCTTCTCCCCACGACCCCGCCCCCTAACCGCCAAACCCTGACCTTAACCTACAACTTTCGAAAAGATCTCGATGCAAAGCTCTGGCCTCTTCCTTCGGGTGCCTTGCACAACTGCAGCAACTACCGTAGGCTTTGGGTTCAGGCATTAATAATTTGGATCGGGTGGCAAGCATAGTCTAGCCATTTGGCCTAGCCATTATTTGAGGACTGCTGACGGGCAAGCCAACACTAATTGGTCCGACCCCTTCAGTAGGGATTGGGCGCAAGGGTCTATGATTTAGGAGGACTGTCTGGCGGGTGCCGTTGTAACCGAAAGGATGCATAGAAAGTACCTTGTTCCAGCCAAGCTTCCTGGCATGTAATATGCGGTGCACGAGAGACCTTATTTGCTGCATTTGTTTACGGATGCACCCATACAATGTCGTATCGACGAGGAACCTACATGAGCACTTGGGTGTCTGGAAATCAATCTGCAAAGCGGCTTAAGCGGTCGCGAAGCCCTAGTTGTGCTATCTGCAATTCTTATAAGCCTTAGTCTTGTGCAGGGTTTCGGGCTTCCCATAGGCTCCATGGTAGTTCCTTTTTGTGGTTTGTATTTAGGATCCTATAAGGTATCCCCAAAAAGGAACTGCTATGGAGCCTCTGGGTTAGGAGTTAAGGGGGATGCGGTCAAAGATGCAGCGATTCCTCTTCCGGCTCGTCGGTTCCTCGATACTGCCAAAACCCAACTGTTTGTGCACCTATATGGGTTTAGGATTTAGGGTTTAGGGTTTAGGGTGTAGGGTTTAGGGGCAGTTTAGGGTGTTCAATCCCAAAACCAGTGAACACCACCAGGCCACCTCACAACACCGGTCCAAGACCACTGTGCAGACTTGGAACCCTCAGCGGGAAAGAAGCCTCAGGAGCCCTCAGAGACAGCTCTTTGAGATTCCAAGCGAAAACCCCGAATTCCAGACTCACCCAAGCTCTAGTCGACCCCTTTTTGGCTTGGGGCCTAAACGGTTTAGGGCTTAGGGATTTAAACCCCTCCCCCTCTCAATGCCCTGAAACCGAGATCCAGAGGTTCCTAAACCGTCATCCCGGCCTGAAACGGAAGTCTCAAGGCCCTGAAAACCTGAGCCCTGAACCCAAAGCAGGTGGGGGTGGGGGTGGAGAGGGTGGGGCCTGAGGGAGGGAACTATGAAAGGGTAGTACCTATGCCATTCCTGAAAACCCCAGTAGGCAACTTGTGACGCCCACGCTTCGCAAGGGCCTGTGGCCCAGAACGTCGAAGCTGGGCGTTTTCGGACTGGCAAAATTTGAGGTTTAGGATTTAGGGTTTAGGGTTTAGGCTTAGGGTTTAGGGCTGTGGATTTCAGGGCTCAGCATAGAGTCTGTAGGTTGTCCTATGGTCGTGCACGGGCAGACTTATCCTGCAAGAAGGTGGGGTAAAGCGACCGGAAGGATTCGCACAGAGTTCAACAAAACCCAAAACTCTGCGCCCTAAACCCTGCATGGCTTTTGGTTTGGGGGGCAGGCAAAAATCCTCAAATAGTCAGCCTCTGCAAAGACACAGCGCAGGGCACTGGACTTCTAGCAAATTTTAGCTAACAACTCTAAGACTCTATAGGCTCAAGTCTTCCTTAAACCATACGCAGACATGCGCAGACATACACCCAAACCCTAGGCCCTAGAAAGTCAAACACCATGCCACAGCTCCTTCCACCCCGCACCCCCCCCCCTCCCCCGACGCACACATATACACAGACAAACACCCTGAACTGCAAAACCCAACAAAGCTACAGAACGTAGTAGGCAAGACCCCGCTATACCCTAAACTCTAGACCGGAGATTTGGAGGTTGTGACAGCCGAAAAGCAAAGATACGACTTGGCTCCCGGACCCTTGCCAGGAGGGTTTCGAGTTTAGGGATAGGTACTACAATTCCGGAATAAGGCCCCCAATCCCATGCTCAGTATGGCTTTGAAGACCTATTCCATGCAGAAGAGTAGTCTAGATGGACTCTCTACCTCTAGGTTCGACATCCAAACCATCACTACACGGCAGCTTCCGTAAGACTGCTCGGGAGCCTCAAAAATCCCGGATCAAATGGGCCGGGCCAGGAGGCCTGAAGCTGCTTGAGCATGTAGTTCAGCTGCTGGGCATTTTCATTCAGCCGGTCTCCCTGATGAGGATGCATTCCCTGGATTCAGGGCGTGCGAACCTCGAAAAAACTGTACACTAGGATTCAAGACGTCACTTAGGTTTTCGGGTTTGGGATTTAGGCACCTCGTTCTCCAGGTCTCGGTTCGGACGAAGACTCTGGAAATCTGCAGATTTGGAAGTCCGGGTTCAAAGGCTTATAGCATGAGGATTCCCATCCCTAAACCCTAAACCCGAAACCCTACACCCGAAACCCCAGCCTACACCCGAAACCCCAGCCTAAACCCTAAACCGAGTGTATGCTGTCGGATCGGAAACCCCCGAGAGGTGCAAATTGGCTGGGGCTGTAGCTATGAAGAGGCTGGAAGACTCGAGTTGAAACTCTATACCTAAGCCCTAAACCCTAAACCCAAAATCCTAAACCCTAAATCCTAAACCCGAAACCCTGAACCCTAAACCCTAAGTCCTGCATCCTAAAGCCTAAACCCTATAGACTCTAAGCCCCAGATGCTCCCATAAAAAAGGACGACAAAACACGGAGCACCCTCAGACAACCCTAAGTTTGAGCTCCTGGCATGCGACACTGGAAAGCTTTAGAGTTTAGGGTTTAGGGCCGTTTAGGGTTTAGGGTTTAGGGCCGTCTAGGGTTTGGGGTTTAGGTTTTAGGCTTTAGGGGTTAGGGTTTGGGGTTTGGGGTTGAGGGTTTAGGTCTTAGGGTTTACACTCTGAAGACGGAGACCTGTAGTGTTTTATTGAGACTCCGTACGGTTCAACATAGGGGCCTGAATCAGCAGAAGAGGGTCATACAAGGACGATACAAGGAAGAGTGGGGAAGTCTTGTGGCAATCTCAACCTTAAACCCTAAACCCTATGTAAACCCTGTAAGAGTTGAGCTTTGGGGTTTCTGGGTTTGGGAAACCCTAAAGCCTAAACCCCAAACCCCCAAACCCTGAACACATGCACGGATTGCGAACCCGAAGGTTTCCACGATTTTTTTGGTAGCGGTTTGAGTTGAGGCCGCAGCTCCAGACCCTTCTCATAGGGCTTTACTAACGGCGTAGGGTTTGGGGTTTAGGGTGTAGGGTTTAGGAGTTTAGGGTTAAGGGTTTGGGGGTTTAGGAGTTTAGGGTTTTAGGGTTTAGGGTGACGGTCGAAGATGTCTCGGGCCGTTTTGATTAGATACTAAGGGAACTTTACTCGGCAACGAGGGTACCCTGCATGTTAGCAGCTCATAGCACTCTCGCCAAAAGACCAAGCCCTAAACTCTAAACCCTAAACCCTAAACCCTAAACCTTAATTCAAAAACCCGAAACTCCCAAAGCCTAAAGCACCGGCCCCTACCCCCGAAGCCCTGCAAGAAGCCGAGCTTCAACGAACGGTTCGTGGGTAGTTCTCTAAATTAGGATC